ACAATAGCTCAAGAACATTTATGACCAAATGATAAACATGAAAAATACATAAAAACCTGTTAACAGAATTGAAGAAAGAAATATACAACACCACAATAGTGACAGGAAACCTTAGCCACTACTTGGAATATACCCTGAGAATATGAGAACTGAGGCACAAACTGAGATTCATACACCAATGTTCATAGCAGCATTATTCACCATCGCAAGAACATGGAAACAGCCCAAATGTCCAACCACAAACGAATGGATTCAGAAATTATGGTACATTCTCACAATGGAATATTATGCAGTACGCAGGAGCAATAACTTTGTAAATTATTGCCTAACTTGGGAGGGACTGGAGAGCATTATGCTGAGTGAACTAACTCAGTCCCACAAGGATAAATGTTGTATAAAAACGTTATTGTAGAATGAGAATAAGGATCCAGGAGGAGTGGGAGAGGCTGGAAAGAAGGGGATGTGGATGTGCATGGGGAGGGGAGAGATTAATCATTGGGTTATACAATTTGATGGAGGGTGAGGGAAAGTGAAAGAATTTGTTCAAATTTATATTTGAGTTTTGTAAATAAACTAGTAGAGAGCAAAAAAAAAAATAGAAGAACTCAAAAGAAACTTAATAAAGATACAACAGATCTAAAGAATACCATCAGCAAATTTGGTCTTGTGGATGTATTCCAGATACTGCACACAACTAAAAGTCAATTTGCTTTCTTCTCAAGTGCGCTTGGTACATTCTCCAAAATTGATCATATGTTAGAACACAAAGCATCAACAATTTAAAAACATTGAAATAATACAAAATATCTTCTCAGACCACAATATCATTAAACTAGAAATTAATGATAAGAGAATAAAGCTTATAAAAACACGCATGTGGAAGCTGAGTAATACCCTGCTAGAACACTATTTGGCTATATAAAGAATAAAGAATGAAATAAAATTCCTTGTCTTCAGAGAGCAAACACAGAAAAAAAGGATGAAGCAAAATTAATGATCTAACTCAAAACCCCCATAAAGTAGAAAAAGAACAACAATCTTAACCCACAGCCTCTATTGTTGCTGATTGCCTTCGAGTTGAGTACGATTCATAGTGACCCTATAAACAAAAGGCCTGAAGCCCCTCTGCAACTATCAACATTATCAAAGATCATAGAGTTTCCGGCGGCATGTTGGTTAGGAAGTGGATGCCACTCCTGTTTCCAAACCTGTCATAGTATGTTGTTGTTATGTGCCACTGAGTCACCTGTGATAAATAGCGACCCTATGTATAGCAGTTCTGAACCCTTCCCTGTCCTGACTCAGTCTCACTAATTCAGACACACGGACCCCCATTGCCCCAGTTACTGTATCAATCCATCTCATTCATGGTCTTCCTCTCCTGCACTGTCCATCCAACCTTCCAAGCATGATGTCCTTCTCCAAGGACCGATCTCTCCTGGCCAAGTGCCCAAAGTAAGTGAGGTAGACATTCAAAATCCTAGCCTTCAAGGAGAGACTTGGTTTTACTCTCTCCAAGACAGACTGATTTGTTTTCTTGGCAGTCCATGGTATGTTCAAGACTCTTCTCCAGCATTACAACCCGAAGGCATCTATTTTTCTTCTTCTGTCATCCTTAGTCATTGTACAACCTCTATAAGAAAGGAAATTGTGGCCCAGGCTCTGGAACATGACCAGCGTCAGTGGGATGCTGAGCACCGCGTAGAACATGCAGAAGGCCTTGCCCGCGTCGGTGCCTGGGGCGGCGTGTCCATAGCCTGGAGGGGTGGAAAGAGAAGAAAGGGGGGGGCCAATAAAAACAACCCCAAAACAAGTGAAGTTCTTCTGACTGAAGGGAAACAACGCCATCTGGAAACGTGGGTCGTCAGGGAAGAATGGAGCACGTGAAAGTGCTAAACAGTCTCCAGCTGGACTTTCCAACGGAGAGCCCCAGGAGGAAGTGGAGAGAAGTGAGAGGACTGAGGTCCCTGGGCTTGGCTGCATTTCTGGCTCTCTGTTAGCTGACCCTCAACAAGTATCCCACCCAGCCAGTGGCTCTTGGCATGGTAATTTCTCACCACGGATGCCAGTCCTGGGATTCCCACACTTGACTGTTCCTTTCCCTGAATTTTGTCTCTTCCGTTTTCTGATTGTCCATCCCAGGGTGCTCTCCACAGTGAAGACCCTGACTGATTCACCACCTGTACAGAGGGTCTGCTCATGGCTGCACCAGTTCCGTGATACATCTTCAAGGATATGAACATGTACGGCTAAGCACAAGTGATAACAGTGCATCTAAATTCCAAAATCAATCTCCACATTAGTCTACGTGTTTCCTATTGCCAAAGGGCCCTTTAGAGTAGTGAGAGATCTTCACCCTGAAACCTACAGCGTCCCTTTTCAGCAGGAAGTAGCTAAGAGAATACACTGTCCCCTTTTCATTATGAATCAGGGTGAAATCTGTCTCAGGGAGGAGTGATAGGGACTGGCAAAGGACACACTGACAAAGGAGATTAATCAGAACTGGCTTTGACAAGCACTGTGACAATGGGACAATTAAAACAAACCTTCAAGGAATATTCAACCTGAATCTTTCTGATCATATGGAGATTTTTGAAAGTATTTCTTTGAGTTTATTTTGTTTTGTTTGTGCATAAAGGATGCTCATCTAGATGATAACATAATTATGATAAAAACAAAAGGGAAATATGGGGCGCCAATACTAAATCTTTGTAATAAACTGAATCCATTTAAATAAAAAAAATTAAATTAAAAAAAGAAAGGAAATTGTAGGGACAAAAGCAGAAATCAATGAGATAGAAAACGGAAAAAAAATGAAGAAAAAAAACAAAACATCAACAAGACCAGAATCTGGTTTTTCAAAAGTGTCAATAAAATTGACAAACCATTAGCAAACTTAGAAAAAGGAAAAAAAAAATGAGAAGACACAAATAACTTGATTAAGTAATGATAGAGGTGACATCACAACAGAACCAGAGGTAATGATTAATAATATCAGAATATTATGAAAAGCTTTAAATTTGAAAACCATTAGGAAAGGGCAAATTCCTTGAATCTCATGCTCTACCCAGATTGGCACAGATAGATGTAGAAAACTTGAACAGACCCATCACAAAAGAAGAAATTGAGCAGGTTATAAAAAGACTTCCCTCACAAAAAAACCCCAAAAAACAAAAAACCTGGACAAGATGGCTTCATGGCTGAATTCTACAAAATATGCAGAGAAGATTTATTATCAATTCTACTGAAATTATTTTTCAAAAAAAATTAAAAGAAGAAACTCTACCAGAGTCATTCTATGCCGCTAACATAATCCTAATACCAAAACCAGGGAAAGTTATAGCCCCAAAATAAAAATATGGTCCAATATCTCTCATGAATATAGATGCAAAATCCTTAACAAAATTTTGGACAATAAAATCCAAAGCACTTAAAAGTATAATTCATCATGACCAAGTGGGATTCCTAGCAGGTATGCAAGAGTGGTTCAAATTAAAAGCAATCAACATTATTCATCATGTTAACCAAGCAAAGAACAAGAACCACAAGATCCTATCAATTAATGCAGAAAAGGCCTTTGAAAAAATTCAGCACCCCTTCCTGATTAAAACATTCAATAAAATGGGAATAGAAGAGCATTTCCCCAACATAAAGTATACACGCAAAACCAAGAGCCACTAATATTCTCAATGGAAAAAGACTAAAAACATTTTCCTTGAGAACAGAGACCAGACAAGGATGTCCATATTCATTACTCCTATTCAATATTGCATTGGAAGTACTTGGCAGGGCAATACAGCAATGTTGTTATTGTTGTTGATTGACTTCAAGTCTATCACGACTCATAGAGACCTTATGAACAAAGACCTGAAGCCCTTCTACAACTGTCAACATTTATCAAAGTTCATAGTTTCTGGAGGCAAGTTGTTTAGGAAGTGGATGCCACTCCTACTTCCAAAATATAGAAGGAAATGAAAAGCAGCCAGATCATCAAAGAGTTGGCTAAACTTTCACAATATATAGATGATTTGAAAGTGTATGCAGAAAATCACAAGGACTAAAAAAAAAAACAAAAAAAAACCCAACCAAACAAACAAAAAAAAACAACCCTGTTAGAGCTAATGCACCAATTTAGTAGAGTGACAAGACACAAGATCAACATACAAAAATCAGTGGGATTCCACTACGATAACAGAAAACACAGAGAAGGAAACCAGTTATTATTAATGAATCTTGGTTGCATGTTCAATCAATTTCAAATTGCAAAATGTAGCCTTAATCTATTTTCTCTTCTTCTGCTTTAGTTGATGTGTATATTTGAATGTTAGTGATATTAACCTCACATGGATAGGCTATTATCCTGTAACTCACAACATTGTACTTCAGGATGGATCTAGAAATGGTCTTTTTTATTATGAATGTACACTTATTTTTCTTCATATTTTTCCATTTCCAGCGTAATAGATCATATATATGATTGTCTGATTCAGAGTGGCCCATGCCAATCCATCTCAGCTGACTAATGTCTAGTACATAAATCTTCCTATGTTTCATTTCTTTTTTACTAATGCCCAAATTTTCTACATTCATACTTTGTACGTTCCATGTTTCAATGTGACTGTTTGTAGCTATTTATCCTCATTTTTCTGTTTCCCAACATGAGGGCTCAACCTTCAATGCTCTAATAGGCTAGATGTGCTCTATTGTTCTTATGCTTTTGAAGGCCTATTCTTTCACAAGTGGACAGCCAACCTTTGTTCATAGTCTGTCTTAATTTGGGATCTTCACTTTAGTACAGCATCTGATAGATAAGTGCTGTACCTGAAAGAATAATTATAGATAATCAAACATATACAAATATAAGCTGTTAAGAGCAGCAACATGTACAGACACTTTTCCAGTACAAAAACTGACAGATAAATTCTGCCTTAGTCTTCCTCCATTCTCCCCCCACCCTTTGAGGAGCTGTGATATGAGGGCTCTAACTAACCCCTAATATGATGGCTCAGGCTCTAGTCACTCCTGTCTGTTATCTGAGTGCCTCCCAGCAAAAATGGTACTCTGGACCCCCAGGCCCAGCTTTCCAGTACGTGTCTGAGTACTGCCACTCCCAGCCAGGCTCGTTGGCATGCCAAGTATTAGCTATTAGAGACATACCATTAAAAAGTGTGATACCATCTCACGTCAACAAAAATAGCAGTGTTCAATAAGACTCAAGCAACATATTCTGGCAAGACTGTAGAGAATTTTAACTGTCATGAACTGTTGGAGGGAATGTAAAATGGTACAATTACTATAGAAAGGGTTTGGAAGCTTTCTTAGAAAGTTGGGAATAGAGCTGGAACATAAACTGACATACTCATATCCATGTTTATTGCAGATTATTTACAATAGCACAGTTGGAAGCAACTCATATGTCCATCAATGGCTAAGAAACTGTGGCACATTCACACAATGGAGTATATTGCACCACTAAAAACTGACCAAGAATTCATTAAATACTGCACATAGAACAAATTAAGGAGAGTGAATTATAAGTTGCAAAACAACAATTATGGTATTAAGACTTCCAATACAAAAAGCTGAGGTAAGGTTTACACAAGAATAGAATCAGTCTTAGAGAGTTAACAGGGATGACAAGAGAGGGGAGAAGGGAATAAAAATTAGCAGATATATAAGTTGAGTGAACTGAATGGCTCCAGTAAGGGCTCATGAAACATTGTAAACAATGTTATAATGCAAAATATCTGTGAATGATTGATTGAAAACCAATATGATTTGTAAACTTTCACTCAAAAAAAAAAGATGAAGACAACAGCAAAGTACTAGAGACTGAGTCTCATTATTACTACTTCTTTATTCCTTTTTCTAGCAGTCCATAATATATTAAATATTCTTTCCCTACTTGCTGAAAGGAAAAGCACTCTGGCTGCACAAGACTGGTTTCAGATTTTTTGTTCATAATGTCACTATGAGTCATACTCGAAGCGATGGCACCTCACAACAACAACAACTTGCTGAAAATGAGAAGGACTTGAAGCACTTGTTGCAGGAGATGAAAGTATACAGTCTTTAATATGGATTGTGTCTCAGTATCAAGAAAACAAAGTTTCTTAACCACTGGACCACTGGACCACCGGGCAGGGTCATGATGGGTAGAGAGGAGACTGAAATTGTCAACAAATTCATCTTTCTTAGATCCACAATTAACACCCTTGGTACCAGCAGGAAATAAGGAGACACATTTCACTGGGAAAATCTGCAGTTAGGGACCTTTCCAAATTATTGAGGAGTAGTTTTATGAGTTTCGGGCCATAGTCTTTCCAATTACTAGCTACGTTTCTGAGACTTGGACAATGAATAAAGATGACAGAAAAAGAATTGACGCCTTCAAGCTGTGGTATTGGAGAAGAGCACTAACCATGCCATGGACGGCCAAAAGAACGAACAGATGTGTCTTGGAGAGGGTGCAGCCAGAGTGCAAGAATGACGAGGCTTCACCTCACATACTTTGGACATGTTGCTTGGCGGTGCCATTCCTTTGAGAAGGAAATTATATTGGGAAGAGTGGAGGGTTGGCAAAGGAGAGGAAGACCATCAACTAGGTGGATTGATATGATGACTGCTGCAATGAGCTCTTGTGTGTCAGGAAGTCTAAGGATGGCATAGGATAGAACAGGGTTCAGATCTTTTGTTCATAGGGTCACTATGAGTCATGCTCGACTCAATGGCATGTAACAACAAAATCATCATTCAATGGCATTAATTCTTCGTTCTCTAGGTATTGCCTCTCCTGATAACATACCCAAAATATGTGAGATGAAGTCTGAATATCTTTGCTTCTTAGAAACATTCTGTCTACACTTCTTTCAGTTTTACTTGTCCTTTTAGCAGTCCATGGTATATTCAATATTTTTCATTAACATCACCCTTCAGATGCATCAATTATTCATCAGTCTTTCTAACTCATTGTCCAACTTTCACAAAGCTAAGTTGTTGTTGTTTTTGGTGGTGGTGTGTGCCATCAAGTAGCAACCCTATGTACAATAGCTCTGAAACTTATTCTATGCTGAACCAGTCTCACTGTTGCTGACACACCTATCTCAATATCCCAGTTACTGTGTAAATGCATCTCATCCTGGGTCTTACTGTCTTGTTTTGTCCCTCCACCTTTCCAAGTATGATGTCTTTCTCCAAGGACTGGTCCCTCCTGGCCACATTCCCAATGTGAGACAGCACTTCAAAACCCTTGTCACCAATGAGCAGCTTGGTTTCACCCTTTCCAAGACAGACTTATTTGTACTTTTGGCAGACCATGGTATGTTCAAGACTCTTTTCCAGCACCACAACTCAATTCTTCTTCTGTAATCCTCAGTCATTGTCCAGTTCTCTGATGCACAAGCAAGTAATTGTGAAGACCATTACCTAAATTAGGTGCTTCTTGGTCTCTAGACTGACATATTACCCTTTAGTACTTTAGAGCAGTCCCTGACAGCAGATTTCCCTAGTGCAATTCGTCTTTTGATTTCCTGACTGCTGGTGCCAAGAGTGTTGATTGTGGAGCCTATCGAGTATATATTGTTGCTGTTGTTGTTAGGCGCTATCAAGTCTAGTATGACTCACAGCGACCCTATGAACAAAAGATCTAAACCCTGTTCCATCCTGTACCATTTTCACACTTCGTGACACATTAGAACCCATTACAGCAATGACCATGTCAATCCACTTGGTTGAGGGTCCTCCATCCTCCTCTCTTTTGCCAACCCTCCACCTTCCCCAGCATCATGTTCCTCTCCGAGGAATAGCCCCTCTAGCAGCATTCCCAAAATATGTGAGGCAAAGCCTCATCATTCTTGCCTCCAGAGAACACGCTAGCGGTACCCTCTCCAAGACATATCTGTTCTTTCTTTTGTCCGTCCTTGGGATGCTCAGTGCTCTTCTCTAACACCAATGCTCTTCTCTAACATCAATCCTTTATCTGTTATCCTCATTCACTGTCCAGTTCTCAGATGCATAGCAAATGATCAGAAGGAATATGGCCTGAATCAGACACACTTTCATCCTCAAACTGACATCATTACTCCTCAATAATTTGAAGAGGTTCCTAACGGCAGATTTTCCCAGTGCAAGGCATCTCCTTATTTCCTGACTGCTAGGACTTGCTTATGGATCCAAGCAAGATGAAGCTGTTGAGAGTTTCAGTCTCCTCTCCATCAATCAGATGTTGCCTATCTGTCCAGTGGTAAGAATGGAAAACAGAAGAAGAAAGGTGTTGCATTCATAGTTGAAAAGTCAATTTCAAGTTCTATCCTGAAATACAATTACTGTGAGTGATAGGCTAATATCCACACACATAAAAAGAAAACCCATTAACATGACTATTATTCAAATATACACTCCTACATCTGGAGCCAAAGAGAAAGAAATTGAGAATTTTTACAAAATCTTGAAGTCTGAATTTGACTGAATATTCAGTTAAGATGTGTTATGATAATTGGTAACTGGAATACACAAGTGGGAAACAATGAAGAAGAAATAAATAGTAATTAGAAAATATTGGCTTGGTGATAAAAAGTATCAAGCATATGAAGCACCTGAAAATACCATTGTCAAAAGTCCTTAAAGTGATAGCCTTGATCTTTCACACTTTAAAGTACTCCTTGGCAGCAAATTTCCCCAGTGTAATATATATTCTGATTTTTCCCCCCTTCCAAAGTCATTGATTGTGGAGTCGGGTAAAATGGAGTCATTGTGTGAATGTACCACAATTCCTCAATCCATTTGGTTGTGGTTGAACATTTGGGCTGTTTCAATTTTCTTGCGATGAACACTGGTGTACAAATCTCCATTTGTGTCTCAGTTTTGATTTCCTTGGGGTATATTCTTAGTAGTGGAATAGCTGGTTCACATGGATTGAGAAATCGCTGTACATTCACACAATAGAATACTATTCATCACTCAGGAGCAATGATTTTGAAAAAAAAATACTATGTAACTTGGGAGAGGCTGGAAAGCATTATGCTGAGTAAACTAATGCAGTCTCATAAGGACAAATACTGCATAGGGCCATTATTGTAAAAAAATAGAAGGATAACTAGTAAAACGTGTACAGGAACTCAAGAGGAAGAAGGAAGGAGTGGAGGGGTGAGGATAGGTAAGGGTGAAACCACAGAGCTGCACAGTGTGGTTGGTGAAGGGACGGAGGGAAGCAAATGAGCAGGATTTGGGTGGAAAGACAAGGTAATGATGAGCAAGGTACAATGGTGATTAATTTTATAAAACATAAGACATGAGAATGCTTGCATGGAAAAGCAATGTGAATGAAGAATAGTGTGAAACACAATGTCTATAAACTTTGTGAGTAAACCAATTTAAAAATAATGTGAAGTTAAGAAAATGGAATCATTGACAACTTTAACCTTTTCTTCTCCTCATAATGTTGTTTATAGATCCAGCTGTGAGGATATTTGTTTTATGTTAAGATGCAATTCATACCGAAGACTGGTCTTACATCTTCATCAGTCAGTTCAAGTCTTTGTTTTCAGCAAGCAAGGCAGGTTTTGTCATATTGCAGGTTGTTGATGAGCCTTCCTCCAATCTTAAAGCTGTACTCTTCTTCACCTTGTTGTTGTTGTTAAGTGCTGTCAAGTCATAGGCGACTCATAGCAACCCTATGAATGAAAGTCCCCAACAGTTGCTTGCCTTTCATCCTTTTTCCATCTTCTTCACGTAGTCCAGTAATTATTTCTTGGGACTAGAATTATTAATTTTTAATCTAGGAATGAGGCTTTGCTGTACTGTGATGTTAGCTTCTGCGGGAATGGTGGTCTGGACAAGAGGTTTTCCTGGGTGCTGGCCTCTCCCAAAGGACTCAGTGTGGCTCCAGGCAGGACAGTGTCCTCATCTGTCAATCTTCATTCTTTTTCTGCCTCTGCAGCCCCTTTAGGCCTCTACTTTTCAAGGGACAGCTACTGGGAGAAACTCTATGTGGACCAGCCCGCTGGCACACCCCTTCTCTATGTCCACACACTTCAGGACTTGCCTGGTGAGGTGCCTAGCTTCCGCCTAGGTCAATACCTCTATGGTGCCTACCGCTCACGACTTCATGGGAATGAATGGATCCGCATCCAAGAGGACAAGGGCCTGCTTTACCTGAACCAGAGCCTGGACCAGAGTACTTGGGAGAAGTTGAACTCCCGCAGTGAGTGAATGACCCTGTAACTCACCTCCTCACTCCATCCCACACCATCCTTGATCTTTCCACCCCATTCTAATTTCTTCACACTGCCCCTTATGCCCACCCTTACCTTTTTGCCTCCTTTCTGTGTCTCATTCATTCCCATTCCCAAATCCATGGGAATCATCGCAGCCCATTTTTAGTATTTCCACTATAAGACCCACATGTGAAGTTCACCCTGCCAGTATTTAGCATGTGAGGGTCCAGGATGAGTCTGGGAGCTACTGCTGATCCTTGGATGTCTCAGGATTTAGGGAATTTTTGAGGACCATGTGCATAATTGGAGGATGCTCTTTAAGCTAGATTCAGAGGCCTTTTTAGGTTTGGTTAATAACAGTTTAGAGGTTGTGAGAGTGAAGTTGAGAAGCGCTAGGAAAATGCTAGGGTTTTAATTTAGGAAGTGATCATGAACAATCTTACAAAGCAGAAGTTTGCCTAGATAGCCTGTGTTCACAGCCATAGCAGCATATGTGTGGAGCCTGGCTGGGACTTGGCCAGGTTAAGATGCCCAGGGAGGAAAGAAAAGAAGACCATGGGAGAGTTCAGCTGGAATCCAAACCATGGCTCCAGGCTGCGCATCATCTTCTACCTTCTGTGCATCTGAACCTAATGAGATTGCTGCCACCTCTCATAACTCTCATACCAGTTCTAAAATGAGAGGCTGGTGGCTGCTATTAACATAGGGAAGTGACCTGCTTGCTTAGGCAGAGCACTGTTTCCTGTGCAGAATAATGTCAGGAATATAAAGTGGGAATTTTCTAGGGAGGGGTAACTCTCTCTGCACAAAGGCCTCTGGGAAGCAAACCAAAAGGTGAGTCTCTGAGCTCAGTGCTCCTTAGTCCCTCAAAGTCCCCCCAATGAGCCTCCAGTAGGAAGAGATCTGTGTAAGCTTTATGGAAGAAAAGTGCATAGTTCTGCGTTAATGGAAGCTCTCTTCCATTACTGTGACATGAGAGAGGTGTCTGTCACGGCCCAGTCAGGAGAGACGAACCAGTGGCTCTGCAGGAGAAAGAGGGACTCCCACAGTAGAAGGTCAGCTATGAGTCTGTAACAAGTTGATTGCAATGAGTTGGGGTTTTTGTGTTTCTTCTGTTTTCATTTATTTTTTTTAAGTATAGGTGAGAAATCACACTTAATCTGAAGAGGGAACATTTGTAGAGAGAGTTACTAGTTATAAGTGGGGATTACAGTAGTGAAGCATAAACTAAGAAGAGGCAAGGGGAACACTAAAGAAGTGGAAGCAGCAAATGTGATGAGCAACACCCTGTAAGGCTGAGATAGCAGCCAAGGAAAAGCCTTCCAGTGGAGATCCAGACCACAACGGAGGGGAAGATACTGTGATGAGATATGCTAGAAACCCTCCCTCTTAGTCCTGAGGAGCTCTGTCCACAGGGTGGTGTCTCAGCAGAGCCTCTACAAAGACCACCCAAAAGTGGCAGTATGCAAGGCATCATGCATTGTAGGAGCATGCTCTAGAGAAGCTTCACATCCACAGGAAATGGGGATTTGCTCAGAGCATCTGTAGGACAGGCAGTGATGTGATGGAGTGGCAAGAGATGGGGATAAATTACACAGTGCTGAGGGCAGCCCTCTGAGTGAACAGTGACATAACGGGTAAAGCAACATGGGGACTCAAGCACAGAGCCCAGGGTGGCTTTCAAAGGAAGCTTCAGAGTGGAGTCTGAATAACCAAAGAAGATGACCAGTGGAGTACTGGTGTCCATTGACAGGGAGCATAATCTTATGACCCTGAATACTGTACTGGGGCAGCCAGCTCAGCAGAGCCCTTAGATGCCTTTGAGGACTGAGTTAAAGAGCAGTCCCCAGCCTGCACCCCATCAGATATTGTTGGCTCTTTTCCTACAGATGGCGGGTTCCCCCTGCTCACCATCCACCTCCAGGTCTTCCTCTCACCAGCATCCCTGCGTGAAGGCGAGTGCCAGTGGCCAGACTGTGCACGGGTTTACTTCTCCTTCATCAACACCTCCTTCCCTGCCTGCAGGTCCCTCAAACCTAGGGACCTGTGCTTCCCAGAGACGGGCTTGTCCTTCCGGATCCGGGAGAACAGGCCCCCTGGAACCTTTCACCAATTTCTCCTGCTGCCTGTACATTTCCATTGCCCCAATATCAGTGTGGCCTACCAGCTTCTGGGAGGTAAGTGCAGCTCACTGACTAGGGTGGTTAAGGATGGGGCCAGGAGCTGAAGTGGGTTAGAGTGGATCTGAGCAGAGATGAAGAGCATGTCACGAGCACGTGAAGTTCAAAGAGATCAGAACCAGACATCTAATGAGATGTGGACCTGCGTCCACACCCAGTGGACATCCAAGTACCTGAAGACAAAATTAACAGAAATTCTAAATGGAATCTCTAGAGCATTTGCCCACATGCCCTTCACCCTGTCTCCTTTTCCTTGGTTCTGGGTCTTGTCATCAGCACAGAATGCAGCTTTACATGTTGCCCTTTCCACTAAAATGTCCACTTTTAAATTGTGCTTAACATGTACCTTGTGCTCAAGAAGAATAGAGAAAAGCATTATGTAGTAAGGGTTTCCAGGCCGCCGTTCTGTGAAGGAGGGGCTGTCCTGGCAGATAAAGTCTATGCAGCCCCTGTGAGGGAGGCACGCCTTCTTGGGCTTGCTTTTGAGATCTTCAGCTGGCTTTGGCGGAAGGCATATTACAGTGATTGCACAGTAACTAGGGTTGCTGTATGTCTGCAGGCAAAGCAGGGCAGACCTGAGCTACATACTATGGTTGCCATCACCCCATTAGATGGCGGAGAAACTGAGGCACAGATGGGCCACGTGACAGGAGGTTGTAGAATAGGCTGGCAGTGTTGTAAATGTGTTAGCACTGTCAAGATGATGCACACATATACACTTTAATTAGCACGTGGTGCCTCCAGAATTGGGGGGGGGAAGCCAATATTATTTTAAGAACAGCTCCCCATAAAGGCCCACCTCTAAATGCTCGCTCTGCACTAGAAGCCTTTCTGAGCAGTGCTGTCCTTAACTGGTACTGGCTCTAGACCCAGGGATGCAGTTAACTCCAATTATCAGCTCATAGAGATTTGCCAAGGCCTTCGTTCCTAGTTGTTCAGTGCAGACTTTCAATAGCATGTAGTAGAACCAAGGAGGCAGGGGCAGGGCCACAAGGTCAGCACATAGGAGGGAGGAAATGTCCCAAGGACCGCCGTAGTTTGCTAATCCTTGCTGTGGCTGTCTGACCCTGGTCACTACATCTTGATCTGCTTTGTCACAGGTGAGCACCTGCCCTTTCACTGCAGCCCGGATAGCCAGGTGAGCACACGCTGGCCCCTGGACCGGGAGCAGCAGGAGAAATACCAACTGGTGGCTGCATGCGTGGTACGAGCTGGAGCTCGCGAGGAGAAAGAGATGGTACCCTTCCCGGTGACCGTTTATGATGAGGATGATTCACCACCCACCTTCTCTGATGGAGTTGACACTGCTAGCACTGTGGTGAAGTTCAAGCGAAAGGAGGTGCTTGTCTGTCCCTGCATCTGTCTACTTTTCTGGTGTCTGTCTCAACATCTGTTATTTATTCCTTGGTCTGTTCAGCTGTCCATCAAGCAATGTCCATCTGTCTGTCTAGGTGTAGCTGGCCTCCAGGCAGGGCAGGAAGAACATGTCTGCGGGTTCTTGAGCTCTCACATGGCCCAGGTGCCTGAGAGCACACCCTTCATTGTTGCATTCTTTGGAGGAGGGCCCACTGTCTGGAAAAGGTGGAGTGTGACTGCCATCTGCTGGGCCCTAGGCTGTCCTGCAGGCAGGACCCCATGGACGGCATGCTCTCTGCTTTCTTGTGGAGATCTTTCACACCCAAGGACAGGTGTGGCAGGGAGCGAGGACAGGAATTAGTCCATATTTTAAAGAAAGGGAAGGTCTGTTGAGCAGAGAGATGCTCTTAACTTTCCTGGAGACAACCTTCAGCCTGGGGCGGGGAGGGTGCTGGGAAGAGGGCACTAGCCACCGGGGCTTAGGTACTACCACTTGTATAGTTTCAGATTGACCCCTGCCCACTTAGCCCAGCTTCTTGAAGACAGAGAGAGAACTCTGTCTGTTTGGGACATGTAAGTAGAGCTCTACAACATTTGTCCAGTAAGCCTACAAAATTTTATATCTTACTTGTGTAGGCCCCTTGGGACCTCTGCCTAAATCAGTTGGTGCTGAGAGTGAGCACCCTGAGGACAAGACCATGTGCTTGGCCTCCTGTGGTGCTGTGCCAGGGAACACGCACATGCACACCTTCACAAGAGTTGGAGGCAGTGGGCAGGGGGCAGGGATGCCAAGGAGCCTCTGCCACCCATTCTGATGTGAATCTCTGTCCTCTGTAGGGCACGGTTGTGGCTGTGCTGCGGGTCTTTGATGCAGATGTGGTGCCAGCTTCTGGGGATCTTATGAAGCGATACACGAGTCAGCTCCTCCCAGGGGATGCCTGGGCACGCCAGACCTTCCGTGTGGAACACCTGCCCAACGAGACCTTGGCCCCAGCCAACGGGAACTTCGTGCGGGCCACAGTGCATGAATACAGTAAGAGGGACCACCCTGGGCTCACAGCTCCCCGAACTCACGCCCACCTAATTCACTCAGTTCTTCCTGTGTCTGCAGGATCTTATACTCTGCAGCCATCAACCTTAGACCCTGTGGGCACCACCATCCTATGTGCCCATGCTGGAAATCCTTGTGTTACCCATGGGAATCGTTCACACATGTACACACACTCACATGCATAAACACACTCACACATGTACACACACTTATAGGCATGCAATCACACCACCACCACCCATGCAAATACATGTGCCCATACTGGAGGTCACTGTGTCCCCCGTGTGTTCATGCACGGTGCACACACTCACACACATGCACACACTCACATGTGTGCACACATGTATGCACACACCCACACCACCACCACATATTTAGAAGCGTGTGCACATGTGGGAAATTACTGTCACCCATGGGAATCGTTCACACATGTACACACATGTGCACACATGTATGCACACACCCACACCACCACCACATATTTAGAAGCGTGTGCACATGTGGGAAATTACTGTCACCCATGGGAATCGTTCACACATGTACACACATGTGCACACATGTATGCACACTCATAGGCATGCACCCACACCACTACCACCCATGTAGACACCTGTGCCCTTGCTGAAAATCAGTGTGCCACCCATGGGAATTGCTCATGTATGTGCTCACATAGACACACTTACACATGTGCACACACTCATACACATTCACCCACATCCCCACCCCCATGTAGACATGTGTGTGTCCATGATGGAACTCACTGGGAATTGTTCACACCCATCAACACAGGCATGCACACATGTCCCCACCACTGATGTAAATATGTGTGTCCACACAGGAGCTCACTGTGTCACTCCATGAGAATTGTTTGCATAACACGCACCTGACTAACAGGAGTTGCGATGATTGGCCTATGCAGGCTTCCATAATGCTCTAACAAATTAACCTCCATGTGTTCACAGTGCTCATGTGCTCAATGCGTAGTTTACATAAAATGGCCTTTCTCTGCCTGCCTCATACCTGAACTCTTCTACCTGCCTGTGTGTCCTGGAAGCACTTCAGATATGAACCATTTGCACTTGGGTCCTTATTCTAGGATGCGCTTTAAGAGGAATCCAGAGGAACCCAGGTTCAAGTATGCCTTAATGGCATTCACTCACACACACACACACTCATACACGCCACTCACACTTTCATACACTCACATCTCCCACCAAGAAGGGGTTCTCTGAACTCCCAGGACAGCACAGCCGACATTTATTGAGATAGCTCTAAGTTGGCACAGCCCCAGTCTACCACCTGTCTACTATATGAGCTCAGTGTATTGATCTAGGAAAGAGCACACAGTAAATACAGACTGTGGCCCAGAGACAGCTTAGGGACTGTCACCTCCCTCTACTTTACCCACTGCAGGGCTTGTGCTCAACCGGAGCCTCTCCATCTCCGAGAACCGTGACCTGCAGCTGGCTGTGCTGGTGAACGACTCAGACTTCCAGGGCCTCGGGGACAGTGCCCTGCTCCTCTACTTCAATGTCTCTGTGCTGCCAGTCAACCTGAGTTTCCCCTGTAACTACTCCTTTGTGGTGAGCAGGAGAGCACGACGCTTTGCCCAGGTGAGTGTGTACCATTCTGCCTGGCTGAGGAAGTGGGAGAATTGGTTCCTAGTGGGTACTCTGTGCTGTCCAATTGGCCAGTTGAATCTGGACCTAGAGCACAGGGAACTGGCCCCGGCTGCTCTCCTAAACAGCCAGCTTAGTGGGCCTGGATGGGTGGAAGTGGCAGAGCTGACCTGGGCCCTGGGGCCGTCTTTTTTTGCTGTCTTCCTCCTTTGAGCATCTTTAGGACACGTTTTGCACTAATTCACAAGTGAGGCCAACACACCTAGATACCCTAACTTGGAAAGATACTCCTTAAAGGAAAAAAGATTTGTGCATTTCATTTGTGACTTCATTTATGCAAAACCAAGTCTTCATCAATGGAAACTTGCAAATGTCTGAGTATGACGGCTGCATTCTGGAGAAAAGGTGATGATGGCTTCTGTTTTTTTAGCCTCAGCAAATGTATTTCCTGGAGCACTCACTTTCTAATGTGTCACTGGAGAATAATAGAAATAGGAAAACGAAAGAGTAATAAATATTACTTTTAAAAGAGGAGCAATATGGAGGCACATTGAGTTCTTTCTAGATGGTCTTTCCCTAGCCTGGCAGTGTGCACCTCACCTAGCACCCCACATTCTCTTAATGGCTCAACCATCTTCTGAACATTGTATTTACTGACCTCACCCCCATCCTTGTGGGTAGTTCTCATGCCTGATGGTCACTTATATCCCATTCACAAGGGGCCTGTGTGTTACCCACCTTGGCCCTTTATAAAGGTCCCCAGGGATGAGTTGGGGAGCCTGGAGCTGACAAGTCAGAGTAGAAGAGCCTCCACAGAAAGACTTAGGGACAGTGGCTGCTCAGCTCCTCCCTGTGTGGGTATTGTGTGCTGTAGAGTCAAAATTGACCCACAGCTGACCCTCCAGCAGGTTTTCAGAGGCAGTTAATCCCACAGGAGGAGATTGTACATCCTCCCTCAGAGCAGCTGGTGGCCTTGAACTGCTTGCCTTGGGATTACAGCACAGCTTCTTGCCACTAGGACACCAGAGCTCCAACTCTAGTTTGCAATTATGAATAAGAACAGTGGCCTTGGGCAGTACCAGGATGAGCCAAGGAATTGGAAGGGTCCTGGCTTTGTGTTTTGAGAAGAGCTATACACCCACCTTACCAATTTTTTTCTGGTGGTGGTGAGTGAAGGCTTGGAGGAACTCCGCTTGCTTCTTCTTTGAGATGGGCTGAGCAAGGACACGCTGGACCAGCTGCAGGTCAGGGACCTCTCTCCTGAGTAATAATAAAGCTCAACGACCTGTAAAGTAGAGCCTTAGCAAGGTTGGACACTCCTGCAGTAGCAGCTAGCCTAACAGCCCCCGGAGGAAAGACTCATGTCCCGGAGGTTTCCCTGATACAAAACAACATGGGATAGATGATCATAATAGAGGATAAGTCCATGGCCAAGCTGAATAACCATCTGAGAGGCTCCAAGAAGGCCAGACCCAGCCTGGAGGCTTCATCTGGGTCTGTTGCACTCCAAATTATAGCTTTTCAGGACCTGTTCCTCCCCACTGCCAGGTCTTTCCTCAGAGACATCATCGTCCACTGTGTGACCAGGAGACCCCACCTCACACCCTCTCCCTTGTCTGTATTGAGGCTTTTGGGGGGCTTCACATTACCACAGATTGCTCCACCTTATTGTGCTGATACAGCAGCTGCAGTGAGCAGGGTGGTTGCACTAAGATGCCTGGCTCTACGGCTGGGCCTCTGACCCATCAGGCTGAAAGGACAGGTACTGAGAGCTGACAGGCTGAGACAAGAGATATGGGCAGGCTTGGAAGGCACTGCCATTTTGTTTCTATAACACTTGGGCCCTGTTATGTCCTGGGACTTTTGTACTTGTATTATCTACCCAGGACATTTTACCCAGAATTGGCTTGCTACAAGATGGAAATCTTCAAAAGACCTTTTCTCTGATCACCTTGTCTAAAATGCTCTTTGCCCAGCACTTATTACCTTTTGCATGCCAAGAGCTACTTTTTTTTTATCTACTTTTAAAAAGAGCACTGATGGTTAATTCATGGGACGGCTAACCCAAAGGTTGGCAGCCTGAACCCACCAGCCACTCTGCAGGGGAAAGATGAAACAATCTATTGCCAAAAAGATTTGCAACCTTGGAGGTTCTATGATGGCACAACTCTCCTTTGTCCTTACAGAGTTGCTACAAGTTGACATTCACTTGTCCTTACAGAGATGACATTACAAGTTGACAATGACTTTGTCCTTACAGAGTTGACAGTACAAGTTGACATTGACTTGATGGCAGTGGGTTTTTATCTGCTTTTGGAGGAGACAGTTCATCATTGGGCTGTGAGTTCCAGAAGCTCAAAGGGCTTGATCAGCTTGATCCAGCACTAAACATAAAGCTCCTTGAGCAGGGCCTGGGGCATAGGTATACATCAGCCTCTGTTGTTTGTATCATGAATGAATGGAGGCAGAATACTCAGTCCATCCTTTGAAGCCTGCTTGGACCCTTTTCTGCTGTCAAACCTCAGCGTTCAGTGTTCCTCTTGTGTGCCCCACGCCCTTCCCCATGCTGGAAGCATCTCACTCTGGTGAGTGGTGCTGGGGCCACAGTCAGTCGAGGGAGGCTGGCATACTCTGCATGTTTGACCTGTACATTTCAGGATGTACAGGAGACAATGCTGCTTCTGGTGCTGAGTTCGAGCAGCGGCAGGGGCCGCTGTCTGGGGCCCACTCCCCCAACACAGAGCCACAGCCTGCCAACACCTGGCTGAGGTGTCTGTCCCCTTCCTAGGTTGGGAAGGTGTGCGTGGAGCACTGCCTGGAGTTCAGTGGCATCCTTGTCCAGTATAAACTGCAGCCCTCTGGGGCCAACTGCAGTGCCCTGGCGGTGATTACCTCAGCAGAGGACTCCACAGGGACCCTGTTTGTGAGTGACCCAGAGATCCTGCAGCGACCTGAATGTGCTGAGCTACAGTACACAGTGGTGGCCACCGACCGGCAGACCCGGAAACAGGCCCCTGTTCAGCTGCTTGTCACCATGGAAGGAACATGTGAGTAACCAGGTGTGGAGACCTGGGACATGGCTGGGGCTCCAGCAAGACAAAGTGCAGGGAGGCGTGGAGCAGCCTCTGCCTGGACTCTCAGTTCCCTGTGCACTTCCTGCAAACTTCCCTAACTTGCTTTACTCACTGTACAGTCAAAGCAGTGTGCCTGCCTCACAGTGTGTCAGAAGGGTTCAGTGGGAAAGATATGAAGCAGCTTCATCCAAAGGAACTGCCTTAGAGCATCCACTCTCACCACCTTGGATGTACGGCCACCGACAACAGCCAGGGCCTTGGCTACATGTCAATTTCAGATAAACAGTTCATTTTCAGGTGTAAATATACCTTGTGAAATATTTGCAGCTAGCATAGTTTTCTGCTCTTGGAATACCTACTTCCAAGTATGTTGCTTGGCATTTTTACTAACTGAAGTGCAGTTAACAGGGCATCATTTTGTAGGTTGATTTTCTGAGTCTGGCCTTCCCCAGTGGCTTTCTGTTCCTATTCTCTACCCCAGCACAACAAGTAGTGGGCCTACCCCAGGAATGGCCCCCCCCTCTGCTGCTCTACATGGTGGTAGGCAGGTGTCACATCACATCCTTACACAGGCAGCACTGTGTCCCAGGTCCTCTGCCCAGGGCCCCCACAGCTCTGCTGCCCTGGTGCTGTCACCCCCCAGGCTGAATTCTGAGCACCTCAGCCAGCCTTCCTCCTATTGACAGTACTAACAATCCTCAGATGACCCTGCTTGTCTGTCCTTTAGATGTAGCTGAGGCACCTGGCTGCCCCCTGTCCTGTGCTGTCAGCAAACGGCGCCCTGAATGTGAGGAGTGTGGTGGCCTGGGCTCCTTGACTGGCAGGTGTGAGTGGAGACAGGGTGATGGCAAAGGTAAGACCCAGACCATAGCCTTGGAATCCAGAGGACAGGGACATCTGGAACCTCTGTGTTAGACTCATCTTGTTCTGGCAGTCTCCTTCACATGGTTTATGCTACCCAGACAGCAGAGACTTTTCTGGAAGCTCCAGTCCAGGAGGGAAGGCCACTGTTGGGACCCTGTGCACCATTAAGCTTTGGAAACACCCAGGCCCATCTGTCCTTGACACCCTTCCCCCTGAAAGAGCGCTTGACACAGCCCTGGGACCCTGAGCCCAGTCTGGCCTTCCGGTTACTGTGTACACTGTGCTTTTCTCTACCCAGACCTGAGCTTCCCATCAGTGGGCATGGCTGACCAGGGCAGTTCCTGGGACAGCTTCTAACACTGGCAAAGTGATCGGGCCACAAGGGGTAGGGTAAGGGATGCCTCCACTCCCTGGCCTTCTTACTCCTGAGATGTACTGATGTGGCCTGCTGTGCACCACAGGGATCACCAGGAACTTCTCAACCTGCTCCCCCAGCACCAGGACCTGCCCCGATGGCCATTGCGATGCTGTGGAAATCAGGGACTTACACATTTGTCCCCAGGATTGCCTTCGTAAGAGCCCCATGAGGATATGGCCAGGGTGGGAGGACATGGACCCTGCCTAAGATCACTGTTGTATCTGTGGGATTCTAACCTCCATTGAGACAAAGGACTCTGTCCCAAGTACCAAATATAGGATGTGCTACCTGACTGGGATGCTCCATGCCTTCCAGCACACTGATAGGGCACAGCCCTCCTGTCCTACCAGCTCCTCAAGTCCCCACCTCCCCTTCCAGCCATGCTTAAGTCTCTTCTCTGGAGCTCCAGCCAGGCCCTTAACAATTGTAGCTGTCCTGCTCCTAGGGGAACTACTCTCCACACACACGGGTGGGAGCTTGGGAGTGAGGGGAGGCTTTCCATGAATCTCAGACACAGGGCTCAGTGCTAGCAGGCCTAGACAGGAGACTCAGGTAGGTGCGCTTGCCTCTCCAGGGGGTGGCAGCATCGTTGGTGGTTATGAGCCGGGGGAGCGGCGAGGAATTAAAGCAGGCTACGGTATCTGCAATTGCTTTCCTGAAGACAAGAAATGCTTCTGTGAGCCAGAAGACAGCCAGGGTGAGTGGTGGGGCAGGCTGGCTTTCGGGCTTGGCCAGGCTGAGCCAGGGCATGACCCATGATCCACTCCCTTAGCTTCCCGAACCCCATGGAGGGGAGAAATTGTAGGAGTTGAGTGATGCAATCTTATTCTTCCTCTTTTTGTAACAAAGGACTTGGCCCAGATTGTTTCATGGTGTCCTAGAGCCAAAACTTTGTGACAGAGTGTGGCCAATGGCATCACTTCTCCCACAGAATAGCTCCATGGGCTGTCCAGCAGGGACCTACTGTAACTACAACACTGAAGCCTGTCCCAGAGCCACAATGGGATGGGCAGCAGGCATCCGGGCTTCTTGGCTTCCTGGGTTGACCTTAACCCAAGTGAATGTACTAGTGTGAGACTAATATTCTAGTTCAAGATGTTCGGTCTGAAACCCAGCAACATTTTCCCATTGTTTAGTTGTAACTGCAGTCCTACATTCTGAGTCACTTTTCTTTTTTCCCCCTTTTTAATGAAATGCCAATGGTGTCTAGAACACAGAGACAAGGATTGGCCTCCTTCTGCCCTGCAGGAAGCTGGTAGAGGGCTTGGCGGAAGCTCTGTGTTGGAGGGGGCTTCTGTTCCTTCCCTAGCCCCGCAAGGCCCATTGACAGCTTGTAGGCACATGGTACACTCACAACATTTAAGTTCTCACTCCCTTCAAATCAAGGCCCCTGTTTGGTGGGCAGCTGCGAGTTTCTGGAAGCAGTGGCAGCAATGCTCTGGAGCCTGCTCAGGCCTCAGACCTCAGGCTGCCTGCTCAGAACCCATGACCTAGGCCCCAGGCCTCAGACTGATGCCTCCCTTGCCTGCAGAGCCACTGTGTGATGAGCTCTGCCGTACGGTCATCGCAGCAGCCGTTCTCTTCTCCTTCATCGTGTCTGTGCTGCTGTCCTCTTTCTGCATTCATCGGTACCACAAGAACACCAACAAGCCACCAATAGCTTCGGCCGAGATGACCTTCCGCCGGCCTACCCAGGCCTTTCCTGTCAGCTATTCCTCATCTGGAACCCGCCGACCCTCACTGGACTCCATGGAGAACCAGGTCTCAGTGGACACCTTCAAAATCCCGGTAAGGCTCTCCTAATGCTGGAACCCATCGGCCTGCACCACAGCTGGCCTCTGATGTTGGTTGCAAGGCCTGAACTCACAGCTCAGCTTGTGGCTTGTAGACACCCAGTCACCAGAAAGAGGAAATGCCTGCCTGAGCTTTTGGGGGAGGCAGTTTGGGATGAAGACAGGTGCTAATTGAGAAAGACTGAGGTTTAAGGCCAGGCCCAGTGAAGCAGGGAGAAGGTTCCCTCCTGGGGAGGATAGCCCAGAGTTAAGCACAAGATGGCAGGTCCTGAGTGGACCACAAAGCCCTGAGGAAGGATTTGGACATTCTCTGAGGACCTACAGCCCCTGGAGGGCTAGATAGCAGAGAAAGGACAGATTCCACATGCATTTCAACAGTTTACTCTGTCATGGAGAGTAGAGGGACTAGGGCAGCAGGTGGGACCCCATTGTGGGACCCCCTGCCCTGATACAGGCAAGAGACAATGACAAGGGCTTAACCTGGGCTTTATCGGTGGACAAAGTGCTCTGTGTGGGTGTTAGTCTAGCCCAGAAGCTGCCCATCATGTAGAGGAAGCATGGGGAACTTAAAAGAGGGAAATATGCCACAATGAATGAATTTAAAAATAAATGGACTAAGGGAGGGGGACTAGAAGGGAAGAAAGGGAAAACATGCAATAATGAATGAATGAAAACCTAACTTTTCTGTAAACTTTCATTAAACTCACAATAAATTAAAAAAAAAATAATGAAGAATGTTGAGGGAGCACAGACCAGCTGAAAGGAAAAGCTTCAGTGGACAGTGCCCCCCTGTAGGAACCTGACAGTCCAAGTGAGAAGGGCCTACATCTGTGGGTCCACATGTGCTTCTTAACTCTAGCTGGGGAGGAGTACCCACCAGGGTTCTCCATGCCTTCCGTGGTCATGCTGCACCCCTGAGGAGAGGTGGCCTTCTACAAGAATAGAGCTGCCCCTTTCATTTGTCTGAGGAGCTGAACGTGGAAAGAACCACGATGTGTTCCGAGACTTAAGATGTATTTGCATGCACATGTGTTTGTGTGCATGTGTGTGTGTTGAGTGCACTGTGTGCATTTCTGTGCACATACACGTGCACTGTAAGCTTGTGTGCTTTTGTGTTTCTTTGTATAGTGTGTGTGATAGAAGCTATAAGAGTTAAAAAAGGCCAGGTACTTGCAAGAGGTGCCTCCCCGCAATCCACAAGTGAGGCCTTGGCTATGTTTTGTGGGCCACTACCGAGTGTGGTGGCCTAGTCCATATGGTGGTGTGCTACTAACTCAAAGGTGGTGCCCTTGGCAATTTCAATCCATCAGCAGCTCTTCTGGAGAAGGATGGAACAGCTCTTCCCATGCAATTTACAGCCTCCAAAAACCCACTGGAGGGTCATCTGTGAGTTGGTTCTGACTTGGCAGCAATGAGAGTTGATAGAGCCCAGCTTGGATAGCACCCTACCTCTTGATGAGGATCTGGGCCATAGAGATGGTTCTCACAGGTGGTGGTCACTGTGGTCTTCAGATGTCCTGGTTTGCTCAGCTTGCTCTGCATCTATATGTTTGCCCCTTTTCCAGCAGTAGCTTAGCCTCTCAACAGCCCTAAGTAAGTGGCCTAAGCTGGATGAGCGCTTGACTCTTGCATAGAGCCAACAATTCTCTGTGAGGTTGCTTAGGAGAGATGATGCTGGTGGGGGATGAGATGAGTGAAGGCACAGCTCCTTCAGGAGCCCAGGTGGATTCTTCCCAGGCCTGTACTTGATCCCCTCAGTCAACCTCAACCTTGAGGTTGTGGGCACATGACCGCATCTCAGTGGGGGAAATGGCATTTGAAACTTCTTAAAAGGGTTTAGCTGGTGCATTCACTTTCCCTTGCACATCTCTGATATGTCTTAGAGTTTATTAGATGCCAAACAGCGGCAGTATTTCAGGGCTGATACATGGTTTGTCTCCAGCTCGATTTTTGGAGTCACCATGTAGAACTAGCATGCACTGGTGGAAGGGTGCATGAGCAGGAGTCAGAGACTCAGCTCAGGTCTCAGGCCAGCATCAGTGCTGTCTCTGGGGCAGGAGGAGTCTGACAGAGAGCATGATGGGATGAATCTAAGGCTGTGCCCACTTCTGGTTGCAGGCACTGAGAGGCAGCTCAGTCCTGTCAGGCATTAGCACCCTAGAGGGAGTTCAGAGTGAGCAGAGTCAGGAGAGTTAGGGTCTAAGAAGGTGTCTGGTATAGTCCTGAACAAGCCTGAAATGGATGGGTTTTTGCTAGGAGAGCAGAGAGTATAAGGCTTTATGAGAGAAGAACCATGTCACAATCGTGTGGGAAAGCAGCCTCATCCACACTGGAAGAGACTTCTCCAAGGAGCAATGTGGCTACCTTCTCTCCTGAGGACACCTGCACTGGGGGGCCCAGTGCCTGGGGGCCTAGACAGGAAGGAGTCTTCACTGCTGTGGGCCTGGTGTCTAAGCAAGACCACACCGAGCTGGTCTGAGACCTGTGAGTGTTGATACACCTGATCCACCTGCTCTGTGAACAGTAGGTAGTGTAGCTGGAGTGACAGGAATGGAGTCAGGCTCTGCTGTAGAATGGAGGGGAGGGTGCTGGGGGCCATCCTGAGTCCAGGGGCTTCTATGATAACTTCTGCCCTGAGGGTAGCTGCAGGTGCCGCCCTCTGAGATGGGGTTGACTGTGTTCTAGACAGGATGACGGTTAGTCTGGGGGCTTGCCCACAGATGGCTCTCATATAGGCTTTGACATCTTCCCATTCTGTTTCCTGAGCTCATTTCCCCCTCCTTTCTGTTTTTTCCCTTCCTTTCAACCCCAATGTAGGAGGATCCAAAGTGGGAATTTCCTCGGAAGAACTTGGTCCTTGGTAAAACTCTTGGAGAAGGTGAATTTGGAAAAGTGGTCAAGGCAACAGCCTTCCGACTTAAAGGCAAAGCAGGCTACACAACTGTGGCTGTGAAGATGCTGAAAGGTGCTTATAGAGACATGGGCTCCTTGTGATACACATGGGAGCATATATGGGCTTCCTTCATGCACATGTGCCCCAAGCGGGCATGATTGCGGATCTCTGGGGTGCATACCTGTCGCAGGCATGAACAGGGGGCTTCCTTCTGCAGACCTGGGAATCATGGCCTGGTCAGCTGGTGTGTGTGGGGGAAGTCATGTAAGAAACCCAGTAAGCTCTGTTGGACTCTGTGGGGCCTCTTAAAGAGTCCCTCTGCTGTTCCTAGTGGCCACAGTCCAGCCAAGCCTACCACATGGACAAGGTGGGTCAGATTTCCAACGAACAGGTCACAATATTCCTCTCTTTCTTTGAAGAATCTTGCAGTAGTGTTACTTCACTCCCAACACTAGATGAAGACTGGAATTTTTAAAACTTCCAAGTCCTTTTGGGTTTGTACCAGTGTGCCCCCAGCCCTTTCTGCTGCTGATAACTCTCAAGTTCAATAGAGAGGCACTTCCCCAGCTTTTGTCTCAGGTGCTCAGATGGCCTGAATGTCTCCTACAGTCTGGGTTTGCATCAGCATGTCACTGGTTTGCATCTGATGTGCAGCATGTGTGTGAGCACCTGGGTCTGTCTGTGGTAGTAGTATGGCTGTGAGGCTGACTTCAGTGCAGCTTGTGAAGCACTCATGCACACCAAACCCTGTGCAGAGAGTTAGGATTGCCCAACATTCACCCAGGCCCCCAAACCAGCTGCCCACATCTGTCACACTACAGGTCTCAAGCACCCTTCTCCAGATAAAGCTGTGGGGCAGAGGTGGTGGGTGTGACAGAACTGTGGAGGGGGTGGAGTGTCCATGGACTAAGGGGGACCGTCAGTCACCAGTCCTGCTCAGGTGTGTTGGATATCAGAGCACAGCTGAGTTTGGCAGAAAGTGAAATAGTCAGTGAAGTCTCAACACTCAACTTTATCAAGCATCAAATACACTGAGACTTTGCATAGTGATTGTTCTATCATCTGAAACCCCCAAACCAGAATATGCAGATACTGTTAAATGGGAACTTGCTTCATTTCAAGAGCTCAAATGTCCAACTTTCTGTGCCAGTGAACTGAAACCAGCAGTTGTGCTAAGTGTGCAGCACAAACATTATAGACATAGTTTGTGTCTCCAAACATAGGTGTTCCACAGGTGCTTCATGAAAGCTCTGGAAGGTCCTAGAGCTCAGCATGAATGCAAGAGACCATGACAGAGCAGGGGAGGCTTCTCACTCATCTTCACTCTCCTCTGGGGCCCATATCTCTGTTGAGTGCTTGGTCAGTGACTGTTGGGGCTGGCAGGAGATCTGATGTCTTCCAAGAGACACGGCCATTTACATACAGTCTAGCCTGCCATGTGGGAGTCTGCTATTCTCTGATGGCAGACAGGGCCCTTGTCAACATCTCCTCGGGGTTGGGAGGAACCTCAGAAAATAGATCCCCAGGAACCTCTGTGTGGACCTGAGTAGGGTATCTGTGGCGGATACAGAATCTGTTCTAAGACTAGAGTGGGGTGATCAGGCCTCTGTAGGAACTTCTGTTAAGTCTATCCTGTGTGTGCTGCATTTCAGAGAATGCTTCTCCAAGTGAGCTCCGGGACTTGTTGTCTGAGTTCAACCTCCTCAAGCAGGTCAACCATCCTCACGTCATCAAGCTCCACGGGGCCTGCAGCCAGGATGGTATGAAAGCAGGGCCCTGGGAATTCAACTTTCTCCCAGTTCCTTCTATGTCTCCCATCTCTGTCATCTAGCTCTTCTCTCTACTTGGGCTTGCTGTCCTCTGCCCACACGGGACTCGTATGTGTGGCCTTTCTGACTTGCTTATGGTGGGTGTCATGAAAGGGCTGTGCTGGGGGCTTACTCAGTAAAGTGGCAGAGTGCTTGCTTGATTCTGTCAGAGTCCAGGTGTCCAGGCTGGGTGCCCACAGCAGGGGAGCTCTAGGGTAGACAGTGCTCCCTATACTTCCCATGTGTCTGGGTCCTGCTGTGATGTTCTAGTAACACCCCTCCAGGCCCAGCCCTGCAAAACAGAGCCTAGTCACCATTTCTCAGATAAAGTTGCAGGAGTCAGAGGTTAAATTTACCAGCATGGTTGGCTGTCCAAATCTGCTCTGTGGCCCCCAGTTCACAGAGGATAACAGAGAGAGAGAAAGAACTGCAGAATCTCAGCAAGGCAAGAGCTCAACAAGGCTCTGGGATGATCTAGGGCAGGACAGAAACATAGGAGCTGGAAGGCGCAGAGGACCTGGTGTTGGAGGTATAGGAGCAGGCTGAAAGCAGGCAGAGGCCCAGGATAAGCAAATCCTGGGCTGAGGCTCAGTCTGCAAGCCCTGGACAAGTCCAGTGCCTGTGACCCTCCTCCCTCTCAGCAGTCACCACCTGGACAGGGGTTGGCACTTCCATTAAAGGAAGGGAGCTTCATGGACAATGCTAAGCACAAGTGGACCTCTTCTCTAGGGCACCCTAGCAGAAGGCTGGCATCAGTGGCCAAGGCACCTTTGCTGGCCCCTTGGTCCTAGTTGGGGTGGAACTGACACTGTCACATCCCTGAGTGCTAGAATTTCTTAAGTGCTCTGAGAGCTAGCAAAGGAAAGGAAGACCCTTGACAAGGTGGATTGGCACGGTGACTGCTGCAATGGGCTTTTGTGTATCAGGAAGTGTGAGGATGGTGCAGGATAGAACAGAATTCAAATCTTTTGTTTATAGTGTTGCTATGAGTCTGCTTTCCTTGATGACACCTAACAATAACAACTGCTAATAAACCAAAAGGTTGGCAGTTAAAATCCACTCAGAGGTGCCTTCATAATCTCGTTCCATGCATAGTCAATGAAAACTCCATGAAGTTTGTTTCTACTTAGATGTGTGTATGTGTGAGTGTGTGTGTGTGTGTACTGACGCAGTGTAACTGGTGTGTGTGTCTGTGTGTGTGTTTCTTACATCTTTTGTGCTGTCATGTGCCTCACACTGCTCACTGCCCAAGACAGGGCTGTGTCCACTTGTGACTTTTTCCTAGGGTGGTAGTGCCAGCTCACCATCCTGCAACTGTCCCTGCCCTGGACTTCCAGAGGCACTCTCTCCAGAGTGGAACCAACCCAAGCACCAGAGCCCTGGGGTCCCCACAAGAAGGCCACCCACCATCTGTCCTTCTACCTTCCAGGGCCTCTCTTCCTCATTGTCGAGTATGCCAAGTATGGCTCCTTGCGGGGCTTTCTCCGTGAGAGCCGCAAGGTGGGGCCCAGTTATGTGGGCAGCGGTGGCAGCTGCAACTCCAGCTACCTGGACAATCCTGACGAGAGGGCCTTGACCATGGGCGACCTCATCTCCTTTGCCTGGCAGATCTCCCGGGGAATGCAGTACCTGGCTGAGATGAAGGTGTGTGTTCCTGCATGGTGGTGCCACCTGCCCACTCCTGCCTACACCACGATATGTATGAGCTCAAGGGTTCCTGGGATTCTCTTCCTCCTAGCTTGTCCATCGTGACCTGGCAGCCAGAAACGTCCTGGTTGCTGAGGGGAGGAAGATGAAGATTTCAGATTTTGGCCTGTCCCGAGATGTTTATGAAGAGGATTCCTATGTCAAGAGGAGCAAGGTACAGAGCTCTCAGTGTGATAACTGGTGACCACTGACAGGACCAGGCATAGCACAGCGGGGGCTTCATGGACCCAAGAACCTCTGGAACAGTGTGTGAAGTGAAATACTAAACCTCTTTTAACACTCATCTCAAATCCTTCTATGGCTTTCCTCACCCCAGAAACCCAATCCAAGGCAAAGGGGATGGGTGCCCCACTCACTAACAATGTATGTCACCAAAGCGGATATCCTCTCCTTAGACTTCAGGCCCCACTCTTCCTGTGCTTGGTCACTGCACTGATGAGCATCACCATGCACTGGGAAGAATGGTCCACATTACTGCAGTGGTTCATCTTGCTTCTGCTAAAGAAGCTGCCACTTCCTTTCTGTGTAATGTAAACTTTGCAAATTGGGGGGTGAGGGTGGGGTGGGTGGAGAAAATGGGGAGGAGTGAAAGTAAGGGGAAGATCATTCCTGGCAGGAAGTGATAAGCTGTCCTTCAGGTGAGGCTCCAGGAGGTTCCCAGGAAAACTCCAGAGAAAAGTTCCAAAAAGCCATGCGCACAGAGCTTGTAAGGCCCATGACTAGTTTTGGGCCTCGGCACACACGTGGCCTCCTTACGTGCCTTTGCCTTGTTGCAAATGAGATGATACATTCAGCATGGCCTCTGCACTCTCCACAGTGGCCACAGAGCTGGAGAAAGCCAGCTCATGGACCTGGTTGTTTTGAGTCCCAGCTAGCCAGACCTGAGCAGACACTGCTGCACAAAACAAAACAAATTTCAAAAACCTCCAGTGACTTTGCACTATTCAGCTGTGCTGTAAGAGGCAGGAGAAGTTGTTTTTGTTGCCACATGTCAAAAATACCACATTTCATTTCTTCTGGGCTTTTGTGTAGATCAGAGAAGACAAATCTCCTAGAGAGGAAGTGAAGGGGCCCACTGCCCCATCTCATTCAGGGAGGGTGCAGTGAAGCCTTCCTGTTGACTCCCAGCTTTGTAGGGATCCTCTGGGTCATGGCGTGGAGTTGTACATCATGACCATTGACAAGGCTTCTGTGGCCCAACAGAGACTTGCCCGGCTCTACTCTGCATGCAGTCAGACAACACCACTAAGAAGACAAACTCAACAAAATAGTTGTAAGCAACAGAAAGTATATAGCAAATCTTGTACATGTATGCTTCTCTAGATTTTCACATTCCTACTTACAAAAAAGCTAATTTTGAGCTGCATGGGGAAGGACTCCTGAGGGCTGACATAGCACCTGTAAGAAGTCAGAGTGAAGGTGGGGACAGCACACAGCAGGCCACATAGCAGTATCCTTCCCAAGTCCTCTTAGCAGAACCTACAAGGGTTGGTTGTATCAGAACTCTCCAGGAAAGAGACAAAAGAAGTTAGGTTCCCAAGTTCCCTTTCCCCCAGAGCTTTCTGAGGCTGATCACACTGAACAGGTAATTTGGGAAGCAATGTTCTGTACCACTCAGGTCTGGTTCTCCAAGGTTCACAGGGAGACCCTGTCTCAGTTGTGCTCCCACATCCTGGGACAGCCTCCTAGCAGAGGCATGGCTCCTGGGGTCTCTCCTGTTGTCCTTCAAGGCTTGCCACCTCATCTCAGAGGCACCAGGGAAATCCCTACAGTCTGGAGGGTTCTGGGCACTAAGACTCTGTGTCTCTGGGTTGGGTGCCCCAGAATTCTGTTCATTCATATACCCTCCACTCCCTGGCAGTTTCTGGGACTTTCATATTCGATCAGAGCAGCCTTAATAACTTTTCATTGCCCTTCTCTGTTTAGGGTCGGATCCCTGTCAAATGGATGGCAATTGAGTCCCTTTTTGATCATATCTACACCACCCAAAGTGACGTGTAAGTGTGTACATGGCCTCCCTGTGTAGATGATGGAGGGTGAGCACACATGGAGGTGGGCTGCTGAGTGTGCATGTGAGTCTGAAGCTTGCCTATGGCCTCATCTCTCCGCCCACAGTACTTCCCTGCTGGGCTGGTACTGGATACAAAGATGACGCTTAGGGAGTGTGGGCTTAGGTAGAGGCCTCTGAAACATGCCGCCTTGTAATCTCTCCATTCCATATCCACCCCTGACCCCCATGTTTCCAAACCCAGGCTGAACTCCCTGAGCAGTTCTGCCTTTGCTGACAGGTTGATGGGACACTGGCCACACTGTTCTTTGCTGTAGGTCAGGCAGGAAGGCCTGCACAGGGCACCAGGCAAAGCTACTGCTCACTCTGCTGTGCTCTCTACAGGTGGTCCTTTGGTGTCCTGCTGTGGGAAATCGTGACCCTAGGGGGGAACCCTTACCCAGGGATCCCTCCAGAGCGGCTCTTTAACCTTCTGAAGACAGGCTACCGCATGGAGAGACCTGACAACTGCAGCGAGGAGATGTGAGCACAGCTTGTTTTTGCTTTTGTTCAGCTTTGGGCACACTAGGCTTAGGGGCTTCGTACATGCATGTACTCCAGGCCGTAAGCAGCCTTTGGGGACTGGACAGTGAGGATTTAACTCAGAAGCCTGAGAAAGACCATGTTCCATCCAACGTGAGCATGAAGATGGAGAAGGGGCTGTTGGGGGAAGGTAGTAGTAGGAGAGACTTCAGAATATCCCTGATCATCAGGCCTAGTGTGCTAGAGAATGGGCTGCATGGTGCATGTTGAGCCATACCCAAGCTGAGGCCAAGGTCAGCAGGGCTTTGATGGCCAGTGCTAAGGAGACTAGGCTGTGACCTGAAAGTAGTAGAGACTTGGCAAAGGGTGATTCCCTTGAACTAGTCTAGTGGAGTCCCTCAACTATTCCTGGTTAAGAAGAGTTTATTTAGGGGCTGAGAAGCACTGGCCCCTTCCTTCCATCAAGTCGAGGCTGGGATTGGGCAGGGCAGTGTGAAAAGGCACCATGGAGATGAAGGCCAGGGCGCTCCATCCACACAGCAGCCCTGCCAGACAGAAAAGCCCAACAAAGAGATTGTGAGTTATGCAGCACAGAGGTGTGATCTGCAGGGGATCTGTTATTGTGTGGTTGTTGTAATTGTTTAAACACTTAAGATTCTCCATTTGGCTAGTATTTCATATAAATGTTGTTGTTGTTATGTACCGTCGAGTCACCTGTGACTCATGGCCACCCTAAGCACGATAACCTTGAAACCTACTCTATCCTGTGCCATCCTTATTGTCACTGACACCTACCCTCATTACCCCAGTCATTGAATCAGTTCATCTCACTGAGAGTTTTCCTCTCCTGCACTGTCCCTCCACCCTTCCAAGTATGATGTCCTTCTCCAAAGACTGATCCCTCCTTACAACATGCCCAAAGTGTGTCAGATGAAGCTTCAGAATCCTAACCTCCAAGGAGCAGCCTGATTTTACCCTCTTCAGGACTAACCTGTTTGTTCTGGCCATTCATGATATATTCAATGCTCTTCTCCAGCACCACAGCTCAAAGGCATCAATTCTCTTTCTATCATCTAGACTAGCATTTCCAACTCAGCCATCATAGTGGGCACATAACGCTGAAAGTGTCATTGAGAGAACGGTAAAATAGAAGTCCCTCAGAGGGAGGCGGGGACATGGTCCTCAGGGTCTATCCAGCACTAACAAAGCAGAGCTCAGTAGAGCACACAAGCAGCAAAAACCACTTTGGGGCCAGAGCTTGCGCTGTGGCATAACCTCCATCTGCTCTTATACCAGGTATGGTCTGATGCTGCAGTGCTGGAAACAAGAACCAGACAAGAGGCCAGTGTTTGCTGACATAAGCAAAGACCTGGAGAAGATGATGGTTAAGAGCAGGGTGAGTTCCTAGGGCAGACCCCCAGGAACTCTCCTCCTGTGGACTGAATGTGGCTTCAGGGACTTCAGCATTCAAGGGAGGTGGGGTGCATGGAGTCCCCAACACTGAGGTGGTGACAGCCGCAGAGCTAGGTGGTCTTCAGATATCTCCCCACTCCTGCAGAGAGAGCGACCGTGAGTCCAGCAGCACACTTCATCCTTCTCTGGGAAACAAGATTCTTAGTTTGATTCTTAAGAAGTTTTCACTATTGAAACTCCATTGCTTGTACAAATGGAATGTGGGAAAAGTTGAGTTGAAGCAGGCATCATAAATACATACTCTGAGAGGAGCAGGCTGGGATGAGAGCAGTTGCAGGTGGTGGAGATTGTCCCCTAATTTTTATGATAACAATTCATTAAACCTTTAACAAGTCCATTGTGGCTCAAACAAGACATAAATAGTGCCATTCAGCCTGTATACTTCCAATTCACAGACCTGTGGATAAAGAACCAAGTCAGTAAATATTTTTACTACTACTTATTGAGCAATTGTTCTCACAGACTCTGTGGCCTTGAATAGATGAGACAGGCTGAATCAGTCTTTGTGCCATTTACATAGAGGCCTCATTTAAGTGACCACTTAAAGTGACCATTTCTTCAAGGCCACTGAAGTAAATTTAACATAAGTATATTTCTGGGGCAAAAATCTACAGGTCCTGTGAATGAAGGATTATATTAAACAAAGATAACAGCCAACACTAGGAGAGCTGGCTTTCTGAAACATTGGTGGGAAATAACCAGAGCAATGCTAACACCATTCTCTGTGTGCTAAGTGAGGGCTGAGTGAGCTGTAACATATGTGAATCCATGTGCCGGGTTGCCAGAACACCATGTGCCAGCCATCACACTGCATTACCGATGTTACTCAGTCTCCCAGCTCCTGTCCTATATCCTTCTAGATGGTATAGGCTTGAAGGAAAGCTGGAATGACGTGCAGATCTGGGCTATCAGCCAAACCATGCTTCAGCATGAGATGTAGGATGCAGCAGTCTCCCTGGAACATGGGGTTTTTTGTTTCCCATGTGTTGATGGAACAGGACATGGTGAGTGTGGGGCTGGCCATGCCTGGGCCCTCTCACCCCGTGCCCTTTTAAAGGCCTGGCTGGGTGTTGACTGGCACAAACGCTATTGAGTGCTAACCAAAAGACTGCCAGCTTGATTCTACTCAGAGGTGCCATGGTAAAAAAGGCCTGGCAACCTACTTCTGAGGAATCCACCACTGAGCCCACACCAACACAAGTGGGAGACCACAAGTTGGAATAGACTTATGATCAACTGGTTTGCTGTTTTAGTTTTGATCAGTGAATGGGGTGCATTTTTACCTTGGGGAGGTGCTTTTCTAATGAAGAGGTGGAGGAGAGAAACACAGCAAGACAGGGCACAGGGGTTGGCAGGGCCTCACCGGTGTCGGCATTGTCTGGGAGGACAATGGAAGGAGGCCAAGCAGGGAGGGGAACAGGGCTCCCACCCCAGGGACAGTATCCGAGGGTCCCAAGCTCAGTGGCAATACCCCATAGTCCATACCTCAGGGACAGACCCTCAGGATCCCAACACCATAGAAAATATCGTAGCAATAGCTCCTAGAATAGTCCTGGGCAGTCATGCTGACTGACACCTTTCTGCTCACAGGACTACTTGGACCTTGCTGCATCCACCCCATCTGATGCGCTTCTCTATGATGATGGCCTCTCAGAAGAGGAAACGCCCCTCGTGGACTGTAATAATGCTCCCCTCCCTCGAACCCTTCCCTCCACATGGATTGAAAACAAACTCTATGGTAGAATTTCACATGCATTTACTAGATTCTAGCCACGCAAACCTGATTTGTTTTCCCTCTGAATTAACCTTATATTGTGTGATGCTTTTTGAGAATGTTTCTTGTCTGAATGAAGGCAATTCCCACTTTGAAGCCTTTTTACTTGTAAATGTTTGACTTTGAATTATGTTTCTATTTAGGCATTTTGCAAGTTTGTTTTTTTTTATTAAAAAAAAGGATGTGAAAATAACTGTAAGTGACATAGTATCCAGAAACTTAAGACCTTCATGAGAAAGCGACAAGGGTCAGTACTCTTGGGGAATATTGAAAAAACAATAGCTGAATCTTTTCTGGCTGACTGTTAAGTCTACAGACTTCTACCTAATCACTTGGACAAATTGGTCAGATTTGGGAAAGCATTTAATTTACAAAGGAAACAACTACTGTTACCTGAGTCAAACACGCTCTGTGGTAGGTGGACAGTGGCCAAGCCCGACCTCATGTCCATAGCAGGGCAGTGAATGGGGCCTCAGGAGAACAAGCACACACTGCTGTTTTCACATCCTTTGAATTGCTCACTGTCATGACGATTGTCATCTGTGAAATCAGTGCTGACAGCTGAAGCAGATGATTTTCACAAGAAGGTGGTCTGTTGTGTTGTGGTCATAAAATGGACAGTAACTACAGCTCTTGCCAAAACTCCTCCTTTTGTCTTTGATTACGTATTTGAATTTTTTTAGATTTTCATCATCAATTGCTTTACGATCTTGGAATTGGAAGTATTTTTTAGCAGAGACTGTTCCCTTTCTGCATGCCTCCTAATTGAATGGACACTTGCTGACTCTGGGTCTTGTGCTTATATTGCATTTGTCTTATGATGCTGTGGGCTCACTTGCATGTGCCCTCCATTTGAAAGGTCTTTTCCACTGTGTTAGATTTTTGACAGCGGTGAACAGGCTCCTTTAAGTTAGGGAATTCTTTTTCATAGTGCAGAAATTTCCTGTTACAGTCAACCATTTAGTACAGCAATGTGCTGGAACTTTATGCTGCCATAGAAACAGAACTAAATAAGTCAACAATAAGATAGCCTATCTGAAAGTTTAAGACCATAAAAGTAAAATAAGATAGTTCTTGTTAAATTTACATTTTTTTCCAAGAGAGCACTGACTATTTCCTCTAAATATAACAGTGTTTTGGAAACCTGGAGCACAATCATGAATATCATTGGCACAAAAAGCAGAAGTTTGGTTTGAACATCAAAGGGAGTTTTGCCAAGGCCTTACTGTCTGCACATGGAATTTTGGTTCTTCAGTGCAGAACAAATTATCTGTTTTCATTTTTAGGCATGTCAGACCCGAACTGGCCTGAAGAGAGTCCTGTACCACTCCCAAGATTCGATGGCACTAACTCTGTGTTCCCAAGATATGCAAATGATAGTGTATATGCTAACTGGATGGTTTCACCCTCAGCGGCAAAATTAATGGACAAGTTTGATAGTTAATATTTCCTTGTAAAAGGTGATGGACTCATAAGGGGAAGCAACATGCAAGGAATGGAGAGGCCACAGCTCCATCTTTGTGCAGTTCACGCTGGTTAAATCAATGTTAACCTCCAGGGTGGCAAACTCGTTTTCACTAGTTTGTTTTTAACTGTTTTCCAGACTGGATTTACTTATGATAGCTGGTGATTTTCCCTCCTGGGAAGCATATCAAAGTGGATAAGAGTTCTAAGTCACGTATTTCTTTCTTCTTGTTCGGACCCTAAAGTTTCCAGGGTTGGTATGTGTTTATCAGTAGCGATCACACACTTTACCCTAACAAGTGTTTGGGTTCATCCCTCATCTAAAAAATGTAACTGAAGTGTTTGATCTTTCTGGTTGCCACTAAACAAAGCAACAAGATTTAATCACAAAGCACACTTGCAACAATGCAGCTGGAAAGCATGGGCCCAAATGGCCTGCATTTTTTTTTTTTTTTTTCAGAATCAGCCTAGCGAGGTCTTCCCAGTAATGCGGAAAGCCTCACTAAGGCTGGAGAGGACCAGGGAACCTGAGCACAGGCCTCCTTCAACATCTGACTCCCTGAAGAGGAACTTTGAAAATCATTACATTTTCTTTTGATCATGTTTAAAATCATTTCAAGATTTAGGACAAGATAACAACAATAACAAATGATCTTATACCATGTTTACTATTGATCTTGACTGACTAAATGCAAGGAGAAAAGGCTCACAGTGCCACTTCTCCTGATGATGCCACTGCAGAAACCTTACAATTCAGTCCTGAGTGAGTGACAGTTACCTGTGCACAAGAAAACCATGAAGGAGGGAGTTGTATGGCCAGAGTGGCCTCTGATCTGAGCTTTGCTGACAGAAGGATTTCATCGTTGTTAGCCGTGTCCCTATCAGCTTTCTGCCCACTGTCCACCAACCTCCAAAAGCACTGGTGAATTCTGTACCTTAGGAGTAGATGGGACCTATGCTCAGTTTAATTTCTATTTTATCAAATTTGTAACAAGGGACAGATTAGCTAGTTATGTTAGAAGTACCTTAGCAGCAACCAAGGACTATTAAACCTATGATCACAATTATGAGGTTGAAAAGACAAAATGTTTTGGCTCTTATAGAGCTGTATGAAAAGTCATCTGTTAGCTCCTCCTGTTTGCAGTTTACTGTTGCTCTAGTCAGACATGTTTGTTTCTTAGATTCTGATCATGGCCATATGCTTCTTGTTACTCTTTAGGGCTTTGTAGTGGTCACATACTCAAAAGGCTCCTTCAGTCTTGTGAGGTGGTTTCCAGGAAGTTCCAGGCACTCTGCGGCCATCCAGCACAGCCTGTTTCTCACTATAACTTTGCAGCAAAGGGTCAGGTTCAAAACACTGCCTGGTCTTCAATTTAAAACACTGCGGCAGCACTGAAAAGAGTTCTCTTAAAATCCTGCATCTTATAGACATTTCACAAAGTGAGAAGATGTGGATGAATGTCAGATACAGATCCCTTTGCCTGTATGTGTACATGTGCATGCACACATAACCAGCAAGGCAGGAAATACTTACTAGAGATGTGATGTGGCTTTAGTTTCAGCCAATTTTCTGATGTACTGTGAAAGTTCCTTTACAAATGTCTACAGTTGTAGCAAACCTATCATTTTCATATATGTTTAATGTTAGTCTTGTTAAATGCAGAAATAATTATAAACTCTGGAATCCTTTGAAATGTCTATTAAGTGTGACTTTCTATAGCAGCTTTGTTCATGGAGAGGTAAGAACCCTATGTCTACATGGTTGACCCAGTGATGGGAAGTTAGCTGTCACTAATAATGTAACTGCCTATTCCTGAGTTGTAATGTCTCCATATTTATTAGTCCTATCAGGCAGACTTTTCATAGGCATTTATGTAGAAGGTACTAAGTAGTAAGTGTTGCTGAGTATTAAGTAGCAATCTGTTATTAAAATTTGTAAAGACTGTCTATGGAAGGTAATTGTTTTCTGTAATCAAGGTGACTAAGAATATAATTTCAATTATGTAAATAAAATAATGTATCATGAAATGTGTAAACTTATTTTTTTACTTTATAGTTGACAGTGTCAGACTTTAAATTTTCAGATATGGAGGCAGACAGCTGTTAACTCATTTGGTGTTTGTGGTTGTCAGTTCAGCTGTGTGGAGTTCTTGTTTTGAAGTAAATACTTCTCAGACAATGAAGATTGTTAGAATTATAGCTATTATGAGAGCTCTGGAGACCCAGTGGTAAGAATCTGCCCTGCAATCCTGAAGGCATGTGCTTCAAATCTGCCAACTGCCCAATGGGAGAAGAATGGACAATCTCCTCTCACGGGATTACTGCTTCTGAAAGTGCTCTGGAGTGCTAGCTATGGGTACACAGCAACAATATAAAGATTAAAATGTCAGAAAAGAATCTAGCACATAATCACTTATAACTTATAGAGATTAAGGGCTAGAAGGCTTTTGGTGATATTTCTGATTTATGATGAAAAGTATGTGTGTCAATATTTGTCACTTCCTGCTGTTTTAGTTGTTTACAATTTACCTCAATCCCGAAGGACAGTGTAGAACTGTCTCTTCAATTTGCTCAGGCTGGAACAGAGGCAGATGGCCTCATCATCTTTTTTCCTGTGGAGGAGGTGGTATGTCCAAACAGCTGACCTTTTGGTTAGCAGCCCAACAGTTAACTCACTGTGCCACTGGGCTTCTTAGGATCATCTATGATAACTATTACAAACTTAGTCATTAATCTTATCATTCAATAGGTTCCCCTTCCCTAGAATAGAGCACCCTCCTTGTTAGTTCAGGTGCTCACAGTTACATGATAATTTGCTTGCTGTTTATTTCTTGGTGTTGGACAGTCATAAAAGCAAGAAGGTAAAAGTGCATGCGTGAAGGTCTATTAGAAATTTAGAGAAAAAAATCACCCTAAAGCCCAGCAAAGCTTGCTAAATGCAAATGTGTTGTCTTTCTGTTGGGTTGTATAGGAATTCTGTGAGATCCTCAGATGCCTTGAGAGAAGAGCAAGTGGGCCAGGAGTGGATATAAGTTGTCACAATGAAACCTGAATGAGGATGGTGTGCATTGTGTGCATGAGAGTCCATGAATCTGCCATGCATGTGTGTGCAGATGCATGCAGACCCTCTTCTGACTGCCCCGCTGGGATGACACGCCTTCATGGTTGGTGTGCCAGGTGTGCTGTCAACCTGCTCATTCTTCCCATATACAGGACCAAGAAAGAAGTGTCTAGGGTCAGACACTTTCTCTACACTTGACCTCCAAATGTTCAGAAACTCAGGCCAAGACCATTTGTCCCCTTTTCAAAAGCATAGGACATCCTTTGGGGAATCCTTTCCATATGCTTGGCTTTTTTTATTTTGTTAGTGTCCTTTGTTTCATTTTTTTAAGAAAGAACACTCTTAATCCACCTCCACAAAGCCTTCTCACCTTCCAGAAGGTCAGTTTATTTGGGTATTAATATAGTCGAGTATGCGTTAGTGCAGGGCATCGATAAAGACTTTATGCTTTTCCTTATAGTTTCCTTTTAGTTACAATTTCTCCTGTACAAATAGTATAAATATATTTTATATAAAATTATATGTTATAAGCATATAGGACCACTATAAGTCATGGTTGACTCAATGGTACCTAATAATAACATATAAATGTGTAGAACATCTTTTTTATTATGTGAGTGTGTGTATGTGTAGTTGTTGTTGTTGTTGTTGTGTGCCATCGAGTCACCTGTGACTCACAGCAACCCTATGTACATCAGCTCTGAAACCTGCCCTGTCCTGAGCCAGTCTCACTGACTCTAACTCCTCATTGCCCCAGTTACTTTATCAATCCATCTCATATGGGGCCTTCCTCTTCTGTGCTGTCCCTCCATCCTTCCAAGCATGATAGCCTTCTCTGTCCCTGGCATGTCTCCTGCTGGATGTTCTCTCCAGGGCTAATGAGGTAAGGACTTCTGAGTCACTTCCTAGAGCAGGCCCCCAGTTTTAAGAGCAACTTAATACACCATATGTGAATATGTTTACAGGAAAAAGAATCTTTGCTTATCTTCACTAGAGAATCCAGCAGGAGCTCCTCCCAGTCCTCCCATGGGTGCATGCCCCTATACCTTACCTACTTGAGTCCTCATCAGTATTCTCTGCATGAATAGAGATACTTAAACACACACAAAAATACCCCATCCCTCTTCCACAGAGGGGGCTTCACCTTTCTTCTTTGTAGTCTCTCCTCTCCCTTGGAAGAGAGACTTGCGTTATGATGGATTATCTTAGCTGAGATCATCAGAAATCAGAACATGTATCTGGAGGCTTTACGTACTGGGTGCATTTCCATTTCCTGAAGCCAGTCCACATGGATGACTGACTAGCAGCTACAGGGACACACTGCCCTCCTGGGAGGTAAGAGGACAAATTTCATCAATGCCTCAAATAGATCTT